GTTGTCTCTTTTAGAATCTGTAACAAGGATTTTTGGAACAGTGGGATGCTGTGATAAATTTTTTTGGAGATAAACCAGATAACAGTGAGAATGAAGGAAAGAGATTGCAAAACATTAAAAAAATTTTACAGTCACCGACCACCAAATTGTACTTGTTATTTTTGAAAAATACTTTGCCTTTGTTTATAACAGTAAATATTAATTTGCAACAAGCTCCTTATATACATAAATTGAGAAGAGAACTTTTTGAACTTTTAATGAATTTATTTGTTAGATTCGTAAAACCATCAGTAATTTCTAAAGAAAATGAAGATGTTACTCTAACGTCTATTCCATTTCAGAAGTATAGTAAACAAAAAGAAAATGAAAATTTAGTGATTGGTGCGGAAACAAGACTATATTTAAAAAATGCCAAGTTGAATGAAAGTGAAGTGAAATCATTTTTCAATTCTGTGCAAGCTTTTTTTGTAACTGCATGTTCATATATAATTGATAAATTTCCACTGAGTGGTCCATTTCTAAAACATGCTGAAGTTGCTGACATCAACTTGAGAACTGAAGTCTCATTTTCATCTGTTCTTTACTTGATGAATACTTTTCCATCCATTATTGATGAAAAAATGTCTTAATCAAGTAGAAATTGAATTTTCCATGTATCAAGTAGATGATTTGAAAGAAATTGTAGATTTGCATATTGATATAGCATGGGGAGAAATTGCCAAATTAAAAAATATGAATGGGTGTATTAAATACAAAGTATTGCCTTCTGTAATGCTTGCTGTCTTAATAATACCTCATTCAAATGCAGCTTGCGAAAGAATTTTTTCTATTGTTAAAAAAAATCAGACGGAATTTTGACCAAATTTAGGTCTTAAAACTCTTGAAGCAGTTTTGATTGAAAAAAAATATGCAGGCAAATGAAGAACTGTGTTATAAAAAACATTCTCAAAATCAGAACTTAAGCTTGCTAAGCATGCTACATATAAATCTTTGCATTCATAAATTATGCATATTTTGTTTAATACTTATATGTATCATTCTTGGTTATTTAAATTTTATTTCCCTGTAGAAATCATATCCAGAATAAAGATATGATTTATAGCTTCTGATTTTTTCTATGATTAGTAGTGATTTGAAGTACTTTTTATTAGTGAATGCTTGAGGAGTTAAAAGAAAATTTCTAATTAAATGTGCATATAATTTACAAGGTATATTTTTAATTATTCAGTTTTATATGTATATGGATTTTAAATGTAATAAAATTGATTACAATTAATTATTAATTTAAAATTAATGAATGGTTAATTACAACATACGCTACGCGCACATTTTCAAAGTTGTAAAAATGTCGTTCGCGCGTTGACTACTGACAAGGTTTGCTGAAGGTTGGAGTCTATGCATATGTACAAAATTCATAACATTTCCCCTTTCTCAAGGAATGCATGTCCCAGACATTATTATCTCAGGAAAGGAAGCCATACTTACAACTAAGGAAAATCTGTTCAATACTAAAACAATGATTTCAATAAATAACAAATCAAACACTGAGTCAACAAATAAATGCATAAATTTACAAATTTATGTACAAACAGGACCATTGTCTTAGTATACTGTTAACATTATATACACTATGGGGGCTATAGCCTTAGTAAAGGGCTAGCCTGTTGGAATAATGCATTTAGACTTAGAATTTTATGACTTGTGAATCTGAACTACGACATCGTTCAGCCTGTTTAGGACAATATAAGGACCGTCCCAAGGTGACTGCAGTTTGGACAATAGTCCTTTCCGTTGAATCCCATTCCATAACCACACCTTGTCACTTTCATTGAATCGATCTCCTGTAGCTCTCATGTTAAATCGAGTCTTCATCTTCTCCATCATCAAGTTGACTTGCTCTCATGCAAAACTGTGCATCATTTCAAACCATGCCCGGAGATCTTGAATGTACTCCGCAGGTGATGAAAGTCACCACCTTGGATGGCAAGCATTTTGGATGGGGAATAGCCGGTACTGTCATGAACAGTACTGCTCTAGGCCAATAAGAACAGTGCTAACTTTTGATCATAGACCTGTTGGTTTCTGGAAACCATCGGCGAGACTTTATTGAGGATGGTTCAATTAAATCTCTCTACCACGCCATCTGACTGGGGATGTAAAGGTGTCATGTGGGCTTTGTTGATGCCAAGTGGCTTGCAGAGCTCTTTAATTACAGCCGGAATAAGATTTCTTTTTTGATTGGAATATAACTAAAGAGGCACTCCAAACCTGAAAACCTAGTGCTGTATTATTACCTCTGCTACAGTGACATCCTCTTGATCAGGAATAGAATACACTGCAGGCCACTTTGTGAAGTAATCAGTGACAACGAGGATGTACTTTGTTGCCTTCAGAATTTTGTGGTTGATGTTCCAGGCTGTCAAAGGTGTTTGATTGAAAAGGAGCTTCTGCGGAGCTGTAATGTTGCACCTTCCTTTGGCTGGCTGCATTTCTTTGGTCCTTTCTTGACCAGCACAGGCATCACAAGATTGGCACCAATTTTGCACGTTAGCCCTTGCCTTACTCCAGCAGAAGTGCTCTTGAATTCTATGCAAAGTTTTCATTATTTCGAAGTGGCCTCCTATTGGACCTCTATGTACTTCTCTAAGTACATTCGGAATCCGAGATCTTGGAAGTATCAGCTGCCATCAGAAATACTTTCCATCATCCAATTCAAACTTCCAGTACAGGACACTGTTTTACATATGGAATGAGTCCTAGAAAGCCCAATATTCCTTTGTCGTAGGACTGTAGATCAGAATGCCCTCCCCAGTAGATTTCCTGCCTGAAGACTGCATTAAGTCAGGGGTTTAATGTCATCGTTTTCCAACTGGTCTTTCTTGATTTCTCTATCATTCAGTGGGTCTGTGTCAGATGATGATGTATTCATAACTTGATATATGACTGGATTAAGCTGGTCGTATTTCACTTCAACTCTAGAACAATATCAACACCTTTCTGGGCAGGGTCTTGTAGACAGGTTGTCAGCATTTCCATGTGATGATCCCTTCTTATGACGGATAGTTATGTGATATTCCTGGAATCGCTGTATACGTTGCACCATTTGATGTTCAGGATTCTAGAAATTTAAAAGCCAGGTCAACAATGCATGATCTCTGTGGAGCAGGAATTTTCTGTTGTAGAAATAATGATGGTAATGTTCTATGGCTTTAATTATGGTGAGCAGCTCTTTTCTGGTTACACAATCTGGTCTAGATAGGCACTTGCTCTAGTATGCCATGACATGTTCTTGGCCGTTTATTTCTTGGGAAAAAAACGGCACCGACACTCTCATTGCTCACAGCCGTGTCAAAAATAAATAGTTTGTCAAGCTGAAGATACGTCAAGATTGGAGCAGATGCTAAGGCTTTCTCCAGTTTGTTAAATACATCCTCACATACATTTGTCCACAAGAACCTTTGCTTGCTCTCTGTCAGCTCATGAAGAGATCTTGCAATGGGAGAAATGTTTTTCACAAATCTCCTATAGTAAGTGCAAAGCCCCAATAAACTTGTCAGATGATGAGTATTTTCAGTGTGTCTCCTATCTTTAATTGCTGATACTTTTTCTGGATTCATACACACACATTCGGCAGGATGACATGTTGAAGGTAAGTCACTTCCATCTGAACAATTTACTTTTGCTTGGACTTAACTTTAGATTTGCTTACTTCAGTAGCTGAAGAACTTTTCTAAATGTTCTTCAAAACTTTCTAACGATGATGATGTCATCCAGGTATATCAGACAGGCTTCATAGGAAAGACCTCTCAACACAATCTCCATGAGGTGTTCGAAATTTGCTGCCACATTATAGTCCAAACAGTATCACCTTGAACTGCCAAAGTCTATGTTTGGTAGTAAAAGCCGTCTTTTCTCGGTCATCAGGATGTATGTTTACCCTGCCAATATCCACTCTTTAAATCAAGCATCAAAAACTACTTGCTTCCAGAAAGAGTGTTCAACATGTCATCAGTTTTAGGAAGAGGGTAGCTGTCTTTTTGTAACCTCATTAATTGGGCAATAGTCAATGCAAAATGTAGTTGAACTGTCTTTCTTCCTGACCAAGACAATGGGTGAGGCTCGTGGACTTGCTGAAGGCTTGATAATGTCGCTTTCTTGCACGTCCTTTAGAATGTTTCCTACCATTTCCTGTTTAACAATGGGTAGATGTCTTGGATGTTGCTTTATTGGTGGATGATCCCCTGCATCAATTCTGTGTTGTGTTAAACTGGTTCGATAATGATTTAGCTAGACTGCCGTTACTCATTGTTAAATAAGACTTGACCTGTATTCTTATTTTTATTGCAGAGCATTGTCTCTAGGTTTCCATGCTACATTGTACAAAAGAAGTGCGGCAGTATCACATTGTAACATAAAAAAAATTAAGCTGGTATCAACTCAAGTCAAAATGTGTTATCAAAGTTCAGTTGTAATTTAAATTTTGATATGGAAACGTTGTAATGATTTTTTAAAATAAAATTATAATAATTAAAAAAAATTAAGTTATCATCCTATATCTTTCTGCCTATAATTTTTATTATCACTCATTTTTTACCTATTTCTTTGTTGATTAAGTAAATCTAATTGACTAAAGTGTGTAAAACATAATGATAGTTATTTAAATTTTATAGCATTTTTATAATCATGTTTTCTTACATGATTTGGTATTATTGAGTAATAGTTTAACTAAGTTATACTTCTTTTGTTCTGTATTTAGTTTTAAATCAAAATAGCTACATTTTAATCTCGAATAATAATAATTTATTGCTAAATGAAGAAAAACAGTTTTCAGTAATTATATCTTTGCGAAAGATGTTTAAGCAAAAAGTGTTATTTAGAATTGATTTGCTAATATCATAAGTTCAATGCATTGTTATTGTCATTATATTCTACATCCATGAAATATTCACATACTAGGAGTTCTGCTATTTTTCTGACTTCTTTTTAAATGTTTCTTTTAGTTCCCTTAATACGTGAGATGAGAAGTAGATGGATGGTGCCTACTAAATTTTCTCCGATAAAATAGGATTAGCTTAGAAATGATCAACTTGTCATTTTATGGAATTTATTGCATATAATATTTGGTTTTTTTTTTTTTTTTTTTTTTTTTTTTTTTTTTTTTACTGTTTTTTCTTTTTAAAAGTTAACATTTTATTTTTGATTATTATCATTACTTCATATTTTAGGTTTGATCTCTGTTATGTACATAATATCCTACCTCTGTAATTTTACAGTATTACATCATATAACTGATCATTATTTCATGTGTCATTCTTCATGTAAATACCTTGGTGATGTAAATAACATATAAATGATATTTTTGTTTAATAGATTTCTTGTTGTTATCCTCTTAAAGCAATGTTTTCCAAAATTATCATTCACTGAAAATATTTTTAGGATTAAATTATATCAATCGTAAAACCAGAATATAATAATAAAATCTCAGTTGATTGGGAAACAAAATCAATTTATTGCAGGCATGCTTTTTCATGAATATAACATTTTCTGTTGCTACAATATATAATTTTTTTAAAAAAAATGGATGGTAATCTGTACAATAGACCATTCCTGCTACCTAATGTTTGGGTTTTAGACTTTATACTGTATTATGAGTAGGAAATATCTTTATGTGGATTCTGCTTGTGCTAATAGAGAAGCCTAATTCTTGGGGCAAGGCTGGTGACATTTCGTCTGTTCTGTGGAAATATTAGTTGTAATGTAATTCAGAGATATAAATAGGAAAGGAATTTTTGTTTGCTCTTTTTAATTTTTCATTCAGCTATTTATCTTGTTCAGATAAGTCCTATCACAAGTTGATTACCTGTGCTACTATTAGAGTGTTGTGTAGGTAATAAAAGTTCTTTTCCCATTTGAGTTAAAAACAAGTTTAGGAAATATAATTATACTGAGCTTTATTGGAATCTTTTTTGTGTGTGTGTGTGTGTGTGTGTGTGTGTGTGTAGCTCTTTCTCTCTCTCTATATATATTAGCCTAGTCAATCCAAATTTAAGTAATTGGATTTAATTTTTATGTATGCGAGATTTTTACCTATGAAAACCTATGCAAAGGAGAGTTAAAATGGTGTTTATTTTCTTCATTGTGTTTTACTTGTTTTTACCGGTGTGTATTATTATAGTTAAGATAGAAAATGTAAAAACTGAACAAAACTTAAAACTGTTATTTTGGGAAACATTGCGTTTCAGTCTTTCATTATATATAAAAGTTCTGTATTTTCATTCTAGTCTTTCTAAATGTGAATTCTTTTAAACAATTATTTGTGTTTAATTTCCTTAGTTGATTGTTTTAATTTGTTATTTCATTAAGATAATTTATTTTCATGTGAAAGTTTGTATTTTATTATTATAATTAGTAATTTTGGGGGAATAGTCACCTTTCTAGCCCTGAATTCCTGATCAACGTATCGAATAGAGTGCATTTAATGAGTAACTTGTACATAAAAAATGCAACATTAATTTCATATTCAGAGCACAGTATGTTTTTAAAATTAACAAATTAAGCTTTGTTAATCAAATTCATATTAAGAATCAAGGTTTGTTTGATAATGAATGAGAAATCACAAGTTTCAAACTGTTACTCTTCTGAAATGTGTGATATCAGGTGCCGATTTTAGGCTTGTGATACTTTTGTATAGCATCTTGTAACTTATTTTTATAGTATGTAATAAATTAGCACAATTATGACTTTTAACAAAATTACTATTATGTAGATCTGAAATTCCTTTATATTAATTGAGGATAAAATTAATACAGATATTGTAACAAGCTTGATTTTGTAAATACATATTGCAAGGTGATTGCAAATTGTTTGAAAAAATGAAAGCAGGAAGAGGTAATCTTTCAAGTTAAATAAAATAGTTCAATTAGATCTGTTACAAGTTAACGTGCCGCCCAACCGGTATAGTGGTTAGCATCACCGACTGTCGTGCCAAAGGGCCCGGGTTCAAATCCCATCGAAGGCATGGATGTCTGTAAATGTATGGTGTCCGCACAGCATGGGGGCACTCTAAATATGCAGTGAGCCGAAAGTCCTCTCAAGAGGTTGGTGGTACGGGAAGAGGAGTGGGAGACCCCTTGGGGTGCTCTCTATGAAAATTAGGGGCGGAACTGAGCTAAATCACACTGTCACCTCTAAGGTGCTAAAGGCTGTGCCAACAACAGACATAATCTTTCACTCCTTGCCACAAGCAATTTCGTGGGCTTGGGCTGGCTATAGATCAGACTAGTGAGCATTAACAACAACACAAATTAACATAGGAAAACGTTTAGTTTGTGTTAAAATTTTTCAGCAGATCTGTAGAATGGAAAAAAAACTTTCTTTAACATTATTTCACAGAAGCTTTCCCTTTTAAGTTTTTAAAATTGTTTAGTGATTTTTTGTATTTTCATTATTATGACCATTTATTTAATAATTATAAAATTTTATGTGTGGGAAGCCTCTAAAAATTGAAGTTTCTGAAAATTATTTAAAAAATGTTTGATAATTTTATTTTGCGAAATGGTTTTAGTCCAGATTAAACTATATTTTTATGTTCTTTTTTAAATAAGTGCACATGCTTTTCATTCTAGTGGGTTTGATTGTTTTAAAAATTGTAAATGATGAATAAGTTTTCTTACCTTTTTTTTTTTTTTTTTCATTTTTTATCAGTAAGAACTATTTATTACCATTAAGTTCATTAGCAATGGCAGACTGATGCTTTTTAATAGAAACTGGTTTCCATGAAATTTCCACAATTGTTTCTTGGGTGTTTTGTATAAATGCTATTTTCTAAAATATATATTTGTTATTTGCAAAACTCAGAATCAGCATAAACACGGCAGCAGTTAAACATCCATCAGCATCAAATGAATGTAATATATTCTTACTTGCTTTTATTTTTTAAAAAAATAAATTTTTGTTCATTTCTACAAATGGGGAAATATTTTAATTGTAGTAGTCCTTTTGCATCTATCTAGAATTTATTTTCACAGGTGGAATAATTAATTTCCTGCAAAATGTAGACATGATCATGTTATAGTGGTGTAATGTAGAAAATAATAGAATGATTTATATGTAAGGCAATTGGATGGGTTGAATTTTCTGTTTCTGTTGCTATTTATTCTGAATTGTCATTGCATTATAAAAAATTTTTAATTATATTTTCAATTTCATTGAAAGTTAGCAGAAGTAACACAGAGTAGCTAGTGAAATATGCTTAATTCTAAAAATTCTACCTCTGAAATTATGTTTTAGATATAATTTTACCTGTATATTTTAATTTCAGTGATTACAAATTACAGTCTTCAGTTACATTATTTCAATAATATAGAAATCATTTAAATCCACCATTAAAGATAAATTAATTAGTACAGTTCATTGTGCATTAATTAGTAATTATATCCTTTCCTCTAGATTGAGACATTTTTTATAACTTTGTGTACATACTTAAGATGTGAAAAGCAAATGGTTCAAGCTTTGGAAAATATTTTGCATTTAAAATTATTTTGCTTAAAGCATCATGCACTTTGCAAGCAAGACTTACAAGCATTTTGTAATTTTTAGTGATAATGAAATTTTTGAATGCTCTGTTTTGGCTATTAAGTTTTTTCTAATTATGAAGGATAATTTTCTATTTATGCAAAAATTTTATATAACATGCTGATAGCGTTATATGAAGATTTTTCGGCACTTTGAAAAAGTATTACTGTTTTCAGTTTTGCAAGCAAATCATGTCCATACTAAATATATGTTATTGCCAATCAACTGTGTATAAAATCTTTCATTTATCTTTTGTGTAATAAAAGTGTATTGCTCAGAGTAATGTAAGTTATTATTAATCATAATTTTTATACCGTAAATATCATATAAATAAAATAGGTTTCAAACACTTTAACTAGTTGGTTGCACTCTTCTTGTGTATAATCAATCCTTTCTGCATTCAATATGAAATTTCATGGTTATGATGAAATTTTGTACTAGTATGTAGAGTGTAAGCCTGTGTATATATATTGTTTATTTTTGTTCAGACAGTAATATACATTTTTAATATTTTTATTATTTTATATTCAAATAAAAGAAACACAGAAACAAATATATAACCATTCAAAGTTAAGTTCTGAGTTGAGTTTTAATTTTATTCAACAGCAAATATGAATTTTCATCAGCTGATGACAGCAAGTACATTATTTAATCATGTTTTCTTCTACCAATGTTCTTATTTCTGGTAATTTTTCCTGTCTTACATGGCAAAGAAATAGTTCCTTTTTAGGATTTTTCACAAAATAACACTCTCATGCCCCTACAGAGAAGTGAAATGTATTACTAAAGGCAAATAAATATAAATTGCCAGTTACTGAAATGAGTGCGAATCTCCAATCTCTACCAGTGTTTCAATTTCTTTTGACTGTTCAGTGTGATAAGCTCTTGTTGGACAAGATAAATAAGTATCTATTTCTTCACTGTATATTAAATTATAATCTTCTGGTTCCATCAGTCTGTAATATTCTTGATAAAATTATCTAGAACTAATACAGATTTTTTTAAATATTTTATTTATTTATTTTATTTCATAGTTTGTTCAACTTAATTTGAGTTTTTAAATATGCATTTCCTTTTCGCATTGTTTCAGACTGTGATTTTAATGAATGATAATAATAATATCTTAAAGCATAAAAGATTTTTAAAAAGCAAGTTGTCATATTTTGTTCATTATCATTTTCATAACTATAGAGGCAATTTATGCTGAAGTTTATACTCTGACTGAATATTTGCTTAAACGTGTTTTAAAAATTAAAAAATGATAAAGCTTTTTCTCCTCCTTCTCTTTTTAGAATGTTAATATTTTTTAATTCCTGATTTAATAGGACTGTTATTTTAGAGTGCATATTTTTGCTGGATACGGAACAAATACTTTTGTATTAACTTCCTAAAAAACATATGGTGCAAATATTTACTTTGTTATTACCATATTTATACAGTGCATTCACTTCATCGTATTTTCCATACCCATATCTGTTCATTTAAGTCAAATGCAATTCTGTTAAGAATATCATATATATAGCTTCATTTGTAGATCAAGAAGTGATTTGAAATAATTTTTGTTTATAACTGAGGATGGAAGTAAAATTAATTACCACAGTCATCATATTGATAAAACACTTATCATTACATTAATGGGTTATAAATTAATTATTTAACAGAAGGCTATCGTGTTTTATAAAGCTGTCAAAAGTTTTACCTAATTGAAATGTTTCTTTTTTTTTTTTTCTTTTAAACTTGGGAACATTTTATACAGATTGTTGAATTTAATTCTATAGTATATAAAGTGATTCCAGAAAATAATCTCAGAAACCAATATTTTTAAATGTTTGTCATTATTTCTCTTAAATGAGAATTCATCATATTAATTTATTTATATATCTGATTTGCAACATTGTGACAAAAAAGAAAACAGAAACTTCTTGATTTAAAATTTATCAAGAAAATGCTTGTGAAATCATTTGTACTTTTCATTATATAAAACTGTTAAAATGTATTTTATTTCAAAATCTTGTGTTGCACACATTGTAAAAGTTTATTATGTTTAATTTAAACCATGAATTTATCTGCTGTGGATGTGTAAATAAAGATGTAAGTTATCTGAGATGTGATAGTGCTATGGTTGCTATAACACAAGCTTGAAAGTGCTCTGCGTCAGATTTAGTATCTGTGATAAATCGGCAATTCAAATGAATTTGTCTCCTTTAAGGTGATTAGTAGCTAAGAATTGAAGCTCTCAGTTACAAAAATTATATATATAGGGTGATTCAAAAATCCCTAAATAAAAATTTAAAGGTAGATAAGACATAACCAACTAATCATTATTATACTATTGTTTGAACATATATTCCAAAATGCTCCATGACTATGTTAGAAGTCAATTAATGCCAAAATGTTGCATAAATATGCTAGAAGTCAATTAATAAGGAACTGCAAGGAAAATATTACAGTGTGTTTATTAGCCAAGTAGTTATAAGCCAAGCTTATGAAAATAAGGTGCAAAAGTTCACAGAAGATTCTTGGAATTCCATTCCTCTAACAGTAACAAATGTCTCAAGCACTAATGTATGGGCTAATAAACAAATGAAAAATTCTAGGTCTGTAGAGGTCGCATCTAGCTGCATCGTAAATTGTTGCAGTAAAGTAAATGTGAAATTGCATAGGGATCTCATACCCTGAGTCTTTGAGCTAATGTCAAATGAAGGAACATGCTTGATGTATATGTCCCATCCATCACCACAATGCAGATGTTCTGTTCAAATATTCCTGCACGTAGTGTTGAATTGTGCAAGAACCTCTTTATGCGAGAACCATACAAATGTTAATGATAGTTACAAGACAGGACAGGAAGAAATGGTAGGAAGAGCAGAATTTCATCATTGGTTGTGTAAACTTCATTAACTGAATACCTCTGTCCCAATTTTGATGGAGATCATCTTGGAGGACAGTTTTCTACTCCTCTTCCTAAACAACCAAATCTCTCAAGAGGACTTTCAGTCTACCCATCTTCACAATGCAAATGTTCTGTTCAAATATTCCTGTGTACAGTATTGGATTATGCAAGAGCCTTGCTATGTAAGGACCATACAAATATGAATTAATAGTTACAAGACATGACAGGAAGAAATGGTAGGGACAGTAGAATTTCACCATTGGTTGTATGGTCCTACTGCATTAATTGCTTACCTCTGTCCCTATTTTGATGGTGATCATTTTAGAAGACAGAACTGAGGGTTTCCCATTCCTCTTCCTCTACCACCAAGCCCCCGAAGAGGACTTTTGCCTGACCAGTATTGAAATGACCCGCATGTTGCGCAGACACTCTTCATTTAAAAACATCCATGCCTTCTCTGAGATTTAAACAAGGGCCCAACAATACAACAGCCAATGTCGCTAACTTCTATGCTGATCAGGGTGGCTGGCAAACAGCTACAGGAACATCATTAAACATTTCTGGTAAAACCTCCTCTAAAAATATCCAGTAAGTCTGCCAACTTCCAGTATGTTTGTCAGAACAAGTGAACAATAATTGTGCAGTAAGAATATATGGTTTAAGGTTTACTCATACATCACTGTGGAAACATTAAAAATATCCTCTAATGAGAAGGAAGCTTCATTAATGAATGTAATCCGTATTAAAATATTTGATTTTGTGGCACAGTGTTGCAAAAACTAGCATGTAAATTTTACAAACTAGATGACTATAATACTCTGCCTTTATTGGCTGGACCTATTGCCAATGAAAAGAAAGTAAGCATTCCTAGTATAATATTCACCGAGTTTGAGTTTAATTGTAATCCTGTTAAATACTTTTATGTCTGAGATTTACTTGACTTTGTCTTAAGCACATGGAGTAAATTAATATTCAAATATAATAAAAAGTAAATAAATAAAGTTCCATTGCAGATGTTTGATGATCCCAACTATTCTGTTTGTTTAAACGTTTATACTGGCAGTCACCACATTAGTACAACAATGCATCTTATTTGTGCAATCAACAACTCGGTGATCAATGCTGACATTTCTCAACTAATCTGGTGCCAAACATCACCTTCTCGCATATTTGATTAGTGTTTGTAGAACATAATCTCTATGGCAGTATACCTTCCTAGTGCATATGAAACCTACGTTTAAAACATTTGTGGAGGGAATTTTAAGTTACCGTCTCTCTCTCTCTCTCTATATATATATATACAAGGTGGGGCTGTTAATTTCCAGAACTGCTCTAATGACACCAGAACAGAAGATGTGAAAAACATAGCCTTTTAATATGTTTCGAAGTAATCCCCATCTGCTGCAATACACTTCTGTGCTCGGCTGTATAAGTTGTGGAAAAAATTTTAAAGTTCTCTTTCAGAAGGCTCTTCAATGTCGATGTCACGTTGAATGACAACGTCCGCCCCCACATTGCGTTGCCAGTGAAGAGATGTTTGGCCAAGCATGAGGTCGTGGAACTGCATCATTCGCCATAGTCTCCTGACTTGACCCCCACAGACTTCTTTTCGTTTCCCAAACTCAAAACTGTGATCAAAGGAACACGCTTTGTGGATGTTGAAGACATCAAGAAGAACATGACGTTGACATTGAAGAGCCTTCCGAAAGAGGACTTTAAAAGTTGTTTCCACAACTTATACAGCCAAGCATAGAAGTGTATTACGGCAGATGGGGATTACTTCGAAACATATTAAGAGGTTACGTTTTTCACATCATCTGTTCTTGTGTTATTAGAGCAGTCCTGGAAATTAATAACCTCATCTTGTATATATGTGTGTGTGTAAGGTAAATAAAAAATATGTGAATCAGCTTTATAATTTAATTTAGCCACGTAATTTCTCATTTCTAATTTGGCTATTTCCTCTCTGCATTCTAAAAGTAATAATAACTTTTCTGAACTTTGCTATTTCTAGATTAATCTATGTCGCATGACTTGCGTAACATTGATGGCAAAGTTAATTCAGAACTTATACTAAAAATTTTGAGAACTGAAACCTTTCTAACCTAAATCAAAACCTTCTCTTAGTGAGCTTCCATACTGGATAATTGCCCCTCTTCCTAGTAAGACACTATTTCCCTCGCTCTCTTCTTATCATAGCAGTATTCAAAAAGATAAATGTTTTTCAATGGTTATGATTAGAGTGACAAGTAAATTGTGGCCAAAAATGTCAGTTGAAATTAAAAATGAAGATTTAATTTTACTTGGTTGCAAAGTTTCCTAGTCATTATGGATTCAACATTTTAGCATTCTACACAATCAGAATTCTTCTTCTTCAGTGTGGATC